GGGGGGATGTCGTTAAGTTCAGGGTGGGGCCCGGAACCCGCGGCCGCCGCGTCTACACAGACCCGGAACTCACTTCCGGGCTAGTGTCTACACTCCACGCGGCCTGGGACCAGGGCCCGTGTGTCCCAGAGGAAGCGCCACTTCCCTCCCCCAACACCAGCCCAGAGTCCCGGGAAAGTTAAAAATAGAACGAAATGTCCAAATACGGCCGGCCTGCCTGTGCGGGCGGAGCCTCGGCCGGGGACACTGTCCACCCAAACACACTCTGTGGGCCGGGCCAAGTCTTTAAACCCCAGGGGAAAAAGTGTGTGTGTGTGTGTGTGTGTGTGTGTGTGTGTGTGTGTGTGTGTGCGCGCGCGGGGACTTGAACTCTGGGCCTGGGCACTGTCCCTCAGCTTTTTCGCTCAAACCTAGGGCTCTACCATTTGACCCACAACTCCACCTCTGGGGTTTTGGTTATTAATTGGAGGTAAGAGTCTTAATGGACTTTCCTGTCCAAGCTGGCTTCAAACTGTGATCATCAGATCTCAGCCTCCTGAGCAGCTAGGGTGTGTGTGTGTGTGTGTGTGTGTGTGTGTTTCAGGATCTACGTAGCCTATGCTAGCTTTGAACATAAGATCCTCCGGCCTCAGCCCTACCAAGGAGTGGACCATCACTAGAGAGAAGAGAATCTCTTCAGGTTGTTTTTTTTTTTATTCGTGGAGTGCACATTCCAGGGACAGGATGGCTATTGGGTGCCTTTGCTTTAGGCAGTGTCTTCTGGTTTCAAGGGAGGCCTGAGTTTTCCATTAGGAAAAGCAGCATCTGATCTTCCAGGGCATCTGTATCATACCTAGACATCCCTCTCAGTCTTCTGACCCCCAGGGGCTTCTCCCCTCTTTTCCCCTTCTGGAGGAGGCCTCCCCCCACTCCCCCTGCTTTCAGGTCATTGCTCTCTTTCCAAACTATCCCCCACACCAGGCTCTCTGGAGACACTTTGGCCTCTGGGTATAGATTAGCATAAATCCTACAGCTGGTGGGGATGGTAATGGCTATTGCCTGCAAAAGCCTTAGCTTTTCTTTTTCTTTCTTTTGGTAGTGGGGCTTGAACTCTGGGCCTTGGCGCTGTCCCTCAGCTCTTCAGCTCAAGGCTAGCGCTCTACCAGCTGGGCCACAGCACCACTTCTGGCTTTTTTGGCTTATGTGATGCTGAGGAATCGAACCCAGGTCCTCATGCATGCGAGGCAAGCGCTCTTTCACTGAGCCACCTTCCCAGCCCTTAGCTTTTTCTTATTAGCAATATACATAACTGTGAGCAAGTCACTTCTCAGTCTGTTCTTCATCCTTACAATTACAATCGTTTGTTAGGTAGCCTGAGATAAAGCATGGAGGCCTCTCCCAGGCCCTCAAAACCACTACATTCTTTCCCCTTCCTTCTTTCTACAACACTCATTTCACGCTTGCTTGGGGACAGACAGTCCCCTTCTTATGTAGTTGGGGCATGCCACCTCCATCCACTCCATGTGCCTGCTAGTTACAAAGATTTTTCAGGTGCTTTACCTGACCCTCACCTGACAGGTAAGGAAACTGAGGCACAAAGGTCACTGAGGACACGGTCTTGTCCTAGGGAAGAAAAGCTTGTGTGCCAGGATCCAAAGCTCTAGCAGGCCCCACCCTAAGACCTGGGCTCCCTGGGGAAAGAGGGAGGTAGTGGCAGGTGCAGGCTGAAACCTCTGGGGGCAGGCTCATTACTTCAAGAACAACAGCTCGGCCAGAGACACGGCCGGGGGGACCCTGCGTGGGGGCAGCAGCTGGGAGATGGAGCCCTCTGGAGAGGGTGAGAGAACCGGGTGCAGGGGCGGGGGGGGGGCTGCAGTTGGGGAGAAGTATAGGACGCAGACTAGGTAGGGGCAGGGTCCCCCTCCACGGTGCGCCCCCTCTCCCCAGGTTTGAGATTCAGAAGGGAGTCGTGGGAGGATACGGCCTGCAGCCCACCCACGAGTGGAGTGTCTTAGAAGACGCCGGGGAGAGGGTCCAGGATCCCCACCAGAAGCCGGGTTCGCTCTCCTCCGGGTGCGGCGGGGCGAGGGACCCGGGGCTGGAGAACGAGGCGAGGCTTCGCGGC